CCATCGGCCTCCCTCAATAGGTCATCAGACAGGGCGACCAATGCTGTTTCTGTGCCATGGTGCAGCCTGAAGCCCAATTGTCATGGATCCATGGTATTGGTTTCATGTAGAAGAGCCTGCAGCTCTTTTAATTAGTCAATAAGTGTATTACAGTCACATGACCTGTTTAGATACATGTCAACCAATTTACACACAATACAAAGAACACTGATTTTTTTTAAAGAAGCAGAGAAAGTTATCAAGCATATTTCAATAAGTAGGACCTTATTTGGATTAAAGTGAGGAAAAAGTTAGCAATTTCAGTACTAAAATAAGGATTCTGATCTGACAAACAAATACATAACCAGTCACTTATTAGTATAGCCTTGAAATTTTTGCAGGAAGGAGCAAAAGAAAGGTTACTTACCTGTAACCATGGTTCTTCGAGTGGACCTCTGTGAATTCACACTACCCGCCCATCCTCCCCTCTGTCCGTCACAGGTATCTTATTGTTGTATAACTCTCGTGCCCAGCGGACAAATTTCAGGAACTGAGGGGAATCTTGGGTGGGAGGAGCTTGTGCCTCATGGGGGAATCATACCATAAAATTGTTACTTTTAGCTCTGGAATGCTCCGAGAATGTCAGCACAGGCGCAGACTAAACCCATATGTGTGAATTCACAGAGGTCCACTCGAAGAACCATGGTTACAGGTAAGTAACCTTTCTTTTTTTCCTGTAGTGATGTACGGAAGTGAGAGCTGGACCGTAAAGAAAGCTGACCGCCGAAGAATTGATGCTTTTGAATTGTGGTGCTGGAGGAGACTCTTGAGAGTCCCCTGGACTGCAAGGAGAAAAAACTGATCCATTCTAAAGGAAATCAAGCCTGAGTGCTCACTGGAAGGACAGATCCTGAAGCTGAGGCTCCAGTACTTTGGCCATCTCATGAGAAGAGAAGAATCATTGGAAAAGCCCCTGATGTTAGGAAAGTGTGAGGGCAAAAGGAGAAGGGGACGACAGAGGATGAGATGGTTGGACAGTGTCATTGAAGCGACCAGCATGAATTTGGCCCAGCTCCTGGAGGCAGTGGAAGCCAGGATGGCCTGGCATGCTCTGGTCCATGGGGTCACGAAGAGTCGGGCACGACTAAGCGACTAAACAACAACAACAAAGTTCATATTGTATATGAACTAAGTGCAATTAATATTTATTTATGTTCACCCTTGTTACAGCACAATGTAATAACTGAATGACTTACCTGTATGTTTTCTGTATTTCCTAAAAATATGTGCATGTGTTCTTTGTTATTTAATAGATTTGTCTATATTAAAGAAGTCCTTTGTGAAGATTCTCAGAGTAGTTGAGATAGTGTGTTTATTTACTAAAGAACAGATAGATTGCTTCAACTACTGTATACGTAATCATAATAGAAAAATTCTTTTTTTGGCAACTCACCTGTATTTTCTAGTGTTGCTAATATGCTACTTTTACTGAATTATTAGGCTCTTGTTAATCAAGTGTGGGCAACCATCTACAACCGATTTAATAAAGTACTGCCTCCTGGTCTTACGGTATCTGGTGTTTTTACACGAGATTATCGTCATGATGCCTTGAATTGTCAGGTAAGTGGCATATAAGGATTGTTGATTTTGTTAGCAAAATAGTTTATGCAGCAAACACATTAAGACTTCAGTTCTAGAATATTTTCTTGGAGAAAGAGTAACTGAATTTGGTGGAACTTATTCTTAGTAGGTGTGGAAAGGTCTGTAATGTTAACCAGAGTAAAGGTGCTGCCAGCAGTTTTTTAAAAGTTTGAGCTGGTAGAGGGAGGAAAGAAGGAAGAAAAAAGTCCACAAAAGCTATATTGAATACTGGCAGTATTTTCAAAGTCACATTTTCCTCACGAGGAAGCTCTTTTGCATTAATCTAATAAAAGAACACAGATGTACAGTATGTCTTAGTGTATTAAATTGAGTTCATTCTCAGGTGTGAACTTTTGAACTTTTCACCAAAATTCCTGTGACATACAAACAATTGGTATAACTGCACTATTGATGTTAAATTATTATTAGCCAGATGTTTCTAAAACCATATATGTTTTTGTTTCAGATACTGGTAACAGTGCCACAATGTTTAGAAATCCTGCTTTTGTCACCTCATCGCCAGGAGTGGGCCAAAAAGATAAGATATGTTATATTTGATGAGGTATGTATGCATTATATTTAGTATAATTCATGAAATATTCATTCGTACCTCTACATCTTTGCATATAAATACCTATTTTGTTAAACTGTGGCGCACCAAATCAGAGCATGATGAAGAACCCAAGACAGGGCTTAGGAAGTCTGAAGATGAGACATAGTTGTGCAGATACAGTATTTGTTTATTTGTTTATTTTACTGCCTATTGTCTGAAGGCCAGATAAGATCACAGGTGTATTATTTTTAGCAGGGGGAAAGTAAATATGTTAGGGTATAGGACATGGATATGAAAGAACAGATTTGCCATCAAATGGGGCAAGTTTACCCATACTGCTATGACACTGCTGAATGGTACCTCCTTACGTCTTTCTGTGCGAGGAAATAAGTATTCGACATCAACTTCTATGACTCCTGGAAACTGGTGTAGAGAAGATGAAGTTTGGTATGGAAACAAATCCTGTAGATTAACAGAAATCTCAGTAGTCAACCAAGAATTAAGCAAAGAAACTGGAAGAATATGCTTGAGGTTAGTGCCAAACATGACAGTGAGCCCACAGACAGGGATGCCTCTGGAGAATGCAGTGAGTTTGTGTGGAATATGGGAGCCTGGCAAATGAGATCAATGTATTTAAAGGATATACTGTAAATATACCTATATTGTGTAATATTCATACAAAAGGCTTTCCCCCCCACAGGTCCATTGTCTTGGAGGTGAAATCGGAGCAGAGGTTTGGGAACATCTTTTGGTTATGATTCGATGCCCATTTTTGGCTCTTTCTGCAACTATAAGTAACCCGAAGCAACTTGCAGAGTAAGATGAGTACAAACTCAATAGCATGATATCAGTCCCCAAAAATACTTTCAGCAGGTTGCATCCAGATTTATGTGGTTGAATGCAACTGGTCTAGTGTAAGCAAACTTTTCCACCTGCTCTCTCCGCAGGAACTCTTCCTCTCGTTTGCTGCAGAGAAATATGTTTGGGGTAATGTCGAGCCTAACAGTGGCTCCATAAATAGGGATGCCTTAGGAATACATTGTGTGAAATGTGGGGGCCTGCCAGAAAAGAACAGTGTATTAAAAGGTTGTGGTTCCTCTTGAATAGTAGGCTAGGGTGTGTTGGAAAGGAAAAGATTTTCAAATACAGGGCAATAGCTGGATGTGCTACATACATTCAGGGTGGGCAGTTTCCTGATGTGGGGACTTATCAGAAGTATTTGGGAGCCCTTCTGGGCTGTGAAGTAATGAATATATGCTCTGTGGTCCAACTTGAGTAGTGCTACTGAGAGTTTCATTTTTGTAACCTGTTAACTACTCAATTGTGGCCAAAATCCAGCTGGAGAAAAATTCACACAAAGAAGGGAAATTGCATGGTGATTTTTTTCTCCTCCTACAGACCTCCATTTCTGTGTTTGGCTGCATGGCTGAGTGTGCACCCATTTTAACATATGGTGTGAGATTAGGTGTGTGAAGGAGAGCCTGTTTCAGGAACAGAAGGCTTATGCAATAGCCTTTACACGATCCCAGAAGCAAATAGGATTCCGATCTGGTAGGAACACTTCAGTTCCCAGAGAGCAGTTTTACTGTAAATATCTGGATCAAGCAACAGTGATTTACACATAAAAGTTTGTTAGTATATGAATATTTTTACTTTGAAGTGTAATAATAATCATCTGCCATCAAGTCAATTGTGAATTATGGTGTTCCTTTTTCAAGGTTTGCTAGGTCGAGAGTATTCAGAAGTGGTTTGCCATTCTCTTTTTCTGGGGGCGTCCTGAGATTGTGCAGCTTTGTCCAAAGCCATACAGGCTGGCTTTTCTGGAATGCACAGTGGAAGTCTGTACTCACAACCTCTCACTCATCAGCCAGATAACTAACTCACTGAGCTATCCAACTGGCTACTTGGAAGTATAGTAAAGCCCAAAGGTCTTTTGAGAGGCTGGTTACAGATAAATGATATTTACTAGGAAAGTAACGCTTCTTCTTTTATGTAGATGGCTACAGTCAGTAAAAAGATACTGGCGACATACTGAAACTGTAATGTCACGGAATCCTGCTACTGCTACTTCTTTTAAGAAAGGAGCAAAAGGAAAGAAAGGAGCTACAGTACAAAACACATCATATAAGGTTAAATTAGGTATGTACCTTGAAAACAAATCATATATAGGAACAGATAATGCATTTATTTCTGTATGTGTTTTGTTACACTTAAGTGACTTTTGCAGTTACAGTGAAGATGTTTCAAGAAGACAACATTCACATTTCTCCCTTTCCAGTTAAGTTTGTAACCAGATCTTACCAAATTACATTTTGTGGTTATTTTGTTTTCAGTGGTGTATGGAGAGAGGTACAATGATTTGGAAAAACACGTATGCTCTCTCAAGGATGGTGACTTCAAAATCCATCACTATCATCCCTATGCTGCATTGACTGTGGATCATGTAAGTGTAGTATATTAAAATAACAAGAAGAAACAGTCCTGGAGACTGTTAAAAAAGTACAGCTATGTTTTAAAAAATATAATTAACTTTCTTTGGTTTGGGATGCAGCTTGCAAGATACGGCTTTCCCTTGGACCTTTCTCTCTCTCCTCGAGAAACTGTGATGTTGTATGATGCAATGGTAGAAGCTAGAAGAGACTGGCCAAGGACAAATGCAAGTATATGTTATTTATATACAGGTGAAAAGATATTTAGAGCAGTTGTTACCAGCAAAAGAACAACTCATTCTATTTAAGTTTCACAATTGTAATCATTCCTCTCCCCCCCACCACCCCACATTCCCTGCCTTGATATCAAGGAACTGGATCCTGAGGAATTTTTTAAGGACAAAATGGTGATCACAAAGGCAGATGCAAGATACTATGAAAAAAAGCTGAGAGAAGAATTAGAAGTGTGGATAAAACGTGGCAATATTAAGGAGGTATTTCTGATTTTCTGCTTATAATATTTGTGACTGTTGTGTCACATTGTTTTGTTTCACTCCTGGATAGGTGGTTTATTAGGTATTAAACAATTGCATAGTTCCATGTAATTTTTAAGTTGCTTCTATATGTTTTAGTTATTGTTTTAAAAACTGTTTTATTTCTGATACATTTCGTTGGAGTATCTCTTCTCCCAAAGCAGTAGTCTACAATTTTTTAAAAAAAAAACATATAATTTTAAAGAGAAAATAGCAGTCACATTTAAAGAGCAGATGACTGGCTTGGAAGTGCATTTACTAACCTGTCTTCAGACTCATTTGTGTTAGGCAAAGTGTCTTTGAAATGGGGGAACTCTTTTCATGGACCATCTCAGCAAGAAGAGATTTGTGTAGATTGATATGAGGGAAGGTATAGCCTACAAACGATGCTGTACTGGAGCTGCAGTAGTTTTTCAGCGTAGCTTATGCTGGCTTAGGCATAGTTAGTGATGCAAGTTGATGCTCAGAAATGTCTGTAAGGCTACAATTTGTCTGTTCTTGCCATAGATTAAAGAGGAAGAGAGACAGCTTCTATTTTTTAATGAGAATATTTTATTATAAGCTTCTAAAAATGCCAAGAAATTCTGCTTAGATACATATTTGTCTCCAGGGAGGTCTTCTCCAGAAATCTTTGTTTGATAAAACTACATACAGAGCTGGCCCTGTCATTTGACATTATTAAAGTAGTTCCCCTTAACTATTGTCTCCTTCCCTCCAAACAATTTTCCTGTTTTACTTTATTATGTTTGCCAAAGATAGCACTGGACCAGGTAAGTGCTATGTCACTTCAGAAAAATAAATACATAAATTAAGAAGAGGACAAATATGAGCTGTCAGCAAAGATGGCTCTTTTCACAGCTTTTTGCCTCTGTCCCTGTGGATTCCTGCAACATGATAACTCGTGTGGATTGCCACAGCAATTTCATCCACATAAACCAGCAGGGACCTGGTTTGAAAAACTTCAAATTAATCTGGGGTTCCCCTCCTATGTAGTCACACCCAAAATCAATTAGGAAGCAGTTTTTTGTCTTAACAAGGAGATACTGTACTACTTTCTGTACCTGTTTTCTTTATTCAGATCAGAGGATTGCACAATTTAAAATTATGGACATACACTGATGCCTTGCAAGACGAAATTAATTCATTCCACGAGTCGTGTCGTATTGTGAAAATTTCATCTTGCGAAGCATGGTACTAACACTTATGCGATATAAAACAAACAAAAAAGGGAAAAAATTCACCTTGCGATGCACAGCCATAGAAAAATTCATCTTGCGAGTCCCCCCAAAAATTGCAAAACACTTTTGTCTTGCGAGTTTTTCGTTGTGTGAGGCATTCGTCTTGCGAGGCATCACTGTATATGAAATATGAAGTTCAAATAAATAAAAAATGTTAATATGATTAGACTCTTTTTGACCAGAAGTAGGCTACTTCAATAGCTTTATCTTAGCCACTTACTAGATCTTGTTTAGTATATATATATAGTGGAGTATAAATGGCATGCACGTCGGTACTTTCTGTACCAAAATAGTATCTGAACAATAAAATCAGGTATTTCATTTGCTAGTATTAATTACTTCTTGCATGGAAATGTCATAATGAAATGGCATTATATGCATGCTTAATTACCACACTGTTCATATTTTCTGCAGGCAAATCACTTGCTGATGTTGCTCAAACCTCAGCTTACGTCTTGCTCCGAAAAAGAGAAGGAAATATATTTTCCTCAGTTTGTTGAAAAACTGCGACAAATGGGTAAACTGCCAGCACTATTTTTCCTGTGAGTATCCAAAGTTGAGATACCTTTATCGTGTTGCATAACACACAGAAGAGAAGAAGTTATAAACTGAGATGTGAAAAACCCTAGCCTGCTATCAATCATGGAACAATGACCTTAGATATTCAAACTGATAATTACTTCAAAGCCTATTGTTTCATAAAAATAGTGGAGCTACAATCCTGAATAGCATGTTAAGATAAAGAATGGGGCTAAGTGGTACAATTCTCACAACTGCTGTGTGTTGTTTATGTCGGTTTATGGTGTCCTTCATTAAGAGAATAGGGACTTGAAAAGTGAGGGTGATCTGGCTGCGACATCTGTTACCCCATTGATCACCAGGGCTGATTTGGCTGATCTGACTGGCTAGGTGGGTGTCCCCTCCCTCATTGCTCCATGTGCATCCCTCCTGAAGATGCACGCTTGGTGAAAGAGGATGACCATCCCAGGTAGGAGTGTATCGTTCTTCAGTATACAATAGGAACTTGAAAGCAAGACTTACATAAATGAATCAGAGTTGTGAATTGAGTACAAATCATTGGATCTAAAAAAAAAAAAAAAAAAAAAAAAAAAAAAAAAACCCAAGCTGAGACACCAGTCTAACTTAAATCCTTCTTGAAAGCAAGTCACACAACTCGAGTCCCAATTTCTGGTAACTGTATATATGTCAAATATATATTGACATATATCTGATGTAAGCATGAAGTTTGGTAATCACAACTAGCATACCCATGTGGCTTTGCATGCACCCATCATGTGTATGTTACCTTGTCTTGCCTTTGCAAATGGAATCCATAAAAGAGGCATCCAGGAATCTTAAGTGCCACTTTTAAAGTTACCAAATACCAGAGAACTGTTGTTGCTCATATGGCAGTGATAGCAATTAATGAATTGACAATTAATTAATTAATTAATTCCGTTGGAGCTGCTTAAGAGCTTGCAGCTGTCTCAGTTTAAAAACTGGCCATGATAAATCTAACTGGCTATAGCAGATGAGAGGGTTGCCTGGAGGAGGTAGCAGAATATCACTTTTCCGGCCGCTGTGAATCCATACAAATGGGTATAAACTGCGCTTGCGCTGGATCTTCGGAATATTCTAGAGCTTTTTTAAAAAAAGAAACATTAGTAGTACTTTGCCCCTTACCATGCATGTTCAGCTCGTCCAAACCTCAGTTCCTTTTTGCTACCATCACGACCGGAGCCTCTTTGCTAGAGCTATCGCTATCTGCCTTTTCAATTGTCTCTTTCATGCCTGATCCGGACTTGCCTGACTCTGATTTTTGTGTGTTGCCCCTGGTGTTATTTGGACTCTTTCGGATTGTGATCTACGGTTTGTGATTTATGGTTTCCTCCCCTTTCCTTCAGACAGATTACTCTCCTTCCCCGATGATAACTGCTTTTGGAAATTGGCTTCCCCTTCAATTTACGATTTGGACTTTATTCTTCTTGTTTCTTCTTGATTGGCTTGACTTGGACTGGTTAATTAATACTATTCGTGACTGGTGGTGTTCGTTTATTTGCCTCACTGCCGGGCTGTCTTTTTATGGCCTCTGTGGGCATCTTCAAATGTTGTGTGTCCTGTGCCACCAAAATCCCATTCACCGATAGACACAAACGCTGTCTGTTTTGCCTGGGGAAAGGACATCAACCCCATTCCTGTTCTCATTCCTGTTCCACCTCTCTAAGGTGTCTTTGAAGTCTAGAGAGCAGCGGCTTAAGGCTCACCTTTGGAGCAAGTCTCTCTCCCCTATTAAATTGCAAATGGAATCAGCTGCTTCTCAACGCCCCGCTCACCACACCGAGCCTCCGACGGAGTCAGTACAATCAGCTCCACTGGCGAAATCTACTTTGGTAGCATCGAAAAAGGGCTCTGGATCAGCTTCAGAAATTTCAAAGTCCTTGACTCCAGCTGTGTCTCTATCTGCCCAGGGCTGCAGAAAGCATCAAGAAGAAAAAAGCTGCTAAGAACAAGAAAGTCAAAGCTTCTTCAAAAGATCGACAGCATGGCTTACCATTGGTCGCGGGATCTTTACTGTCCCAGATACTGGAAGAATCATCTAGGGATATGCCCGACACCGAGTTGGTTTCAGACGATGGTGTTCCCGATCATCGCCCAACTAACCGGGCAACATCCTCGCTTCCAAGCCGCTCATTGAGTCCAAGTCGATTTCATGCTGAGATTGCTTCCATCCAGGCTTCAGCCCATTATAGCCCTGTGAACATTGGGTGGCTGATTGTTCTGCCTCATTCGGACTCAGAGGAGTCTATAGAGCGAGCGTCTCCCAGGAAGAAGACTACTAATAGGATATACGTTACATTACCTTCACTTCAATCCCCATGTCGAGACATGGTAGTGGTTTTGAGGGGCTCTCGATGTCGAGTGTATCATGATGTTGAGGAACCAATTTATGTTGAAGTCGAGAGCAGAACAGGTCGATGTTGACATAGAGAGGATGACACCAAATCTGACCAATATTATGAGATCAACAGCCGTGGGAAATTCAGGAAGATTAAATATGTGTATGCCTCCTTGTCTTCCCTGTCACCCTCCCCACCTTGACGTTGATATCGATCTCATTATGAAGTCGACGTACTGACGTCAAAGGCTTCTGGCCACCAATCTCCACGCAAGAAGCAGTCAGCGCTCTCGGTTTCGAAATCAAAGAGGGCACATCATGCTGTTACTTCTTCAGTTTCAACTGCTTCGGTATCCACTCCTACTCAGTCCAAGAGCCACCATGTTGTAGCAGCTCCAACCACTCAGGTCCTTGAGGACTCCTCTTCGACCCGTCATTCCAGGGAGCGCCATAGATCACTCTCGCCATCGCCTTCTCTCCAAGGTGACCCCTTGGTTTCTTCCGCATCTGACCAGGAGGATGCCTCCTCTGAAGTTTCAATTGAGACTCCACCAAATGTTAATACACCGGATTCTGATGTAGGGGACTTAAGACACCCTTCTCCTTCATGGGACTTTACGTCTTTCGCAGATGGTGGCACGCATGGCCAACGTTTTGAAGTTAGACATTGAGCAACCACCGCCTCCTAAGGAGGACTTGGACTTTGGTGACATTAATCAAGAAAAATCTCATCCTTTGAGTCTGGCTTTTATTCCAGCTTTGATGGAGAACATCAAAGAGGCTTGGGACCTTCAACCTGCATCTTTGCAGATTTCAAGGAGAATGGAGGGTCATTATAGGACCCATGGGAGCAACACTTTGTTCCTCTCTAAGCACCCAACACCTAATTCCATAATTGTCCAGGCCAATGCTTCCAGGACTGGAGGTAAGGCCAAGGTAACTCCCACCAATTGGGAAGGTCAGAAGTTGGATGTCTTAGGGCACCAAATGTACTCTTTGCTTCCTTTCTTCTTAAGGTTTCTAACTATCAGGTACCTACCAGAAGCAGCTTTGCGCCAAAGTATTGCCTGCCCTTCAGGTCACCCCAGAGGATACTAAAATGGAACTGCTTAACGTTCAAGCAGAGGCATCCACAGTGGCTAAGCATCGACGTTTGGCAGCTCGTCATGCAGCAGAGGTTGCTTCTAAGTCTCTTGCATCCACTATCTCATTGAGGCAACATGCCTGGCTATGGTCTTCAGGAATTGTGGAAGACACAAAGGCATGGATATAAGAACTTGCTTTTGATGGGACTGCTCAATGAAAAAACAGATGATATTATGGAGGGCTTCCATAAAATGAAGAAAACAGCCAGGTTCTATACCATCCAGCAGCAACTTAAATTTGAGAGATCTCAATGGCCAAGCAATTTGGCCAACAGAATTACCATCATCACTACTGCCAGACTTACCGTTCTTATGATCCTTCTATTCATAGCAAATCAGCAAAGCCTTCTACTGCCAGTGCTACCTTTAGATCGCAATCTTCTTCTCAACGCCGGCAGTCTTATCAGCCTGCAAAGAAAAATAAGCAGTATTTTTGACTTCAATGCAAATCACATTACCATTACAGCAAACTTATTCACACCCCCTCCACCAAGCCTCTTTGTTCCTCCCATGCCCAGACTATTCCCATTCTTAAGAAACTGGAACCTCATCACCAAAGATACCGGGTTGCTATCTATCATTTGGTTTGGTTATCAACTGGTGTTCGAGGAACTTCCTCCCATCAGACACATCAAGGTTACACCCTATGCACAGGTTCTAGAGGAAGAGATTGCATTTCTCCTAGAAAAGCAAGCCATTTTAAAAGTTCCCGTTTAGGACATTTAGAAAGGTTTTTACTCCCGCTACTTCATGGTACCCAAAAATGATGGGGGTGTCAGACCCATTCAGGATCTCAAGCAATTAAATACTTACCTTTGTCCAAGACGCTTCCGGATGGTCACTCTGGAGTCCATCATCCAACTCCTAAAGGAAAAAGATTGGTTTGTTGTTATAGATCTAAAGGATGCCTACTTCCATATTTCTATTCACCCACATCATCAAAAATACCAATGTTTTTTCTTCAAAGATACTGCCTATCAATTTTGCGCCCTACCATTTGTCTTATCCACCACACCAAGGACATTTACCAAGTGCATGGCAGCAGTGGCAGCCTTCCTTTGTCTCTAGAACATCACAGTCTTCCCATATATAGATGACTGGTTGATAGTGACTGCCTCTTGCCAAAAGGCCATTTGAGACACTGCATTTGTTCTGCAAACTCTTACAAACCTGGGCCTAAAAATCAACAGAGAGAAGTCTCAACTTCATCCTATGCAGGTTATAGACTACATACCTAGGTGCACACCTTGATTCTGTAAGAGCAAGAGTATCCCTTTCACCAGAACACATCAACAAGATAAGGCGTGCCATTTGCCCTTTTTGCCCAGGTGCCAAGATATCAGCGCACCACACTCAACATCTGCTGGGCTTGATGGCCTCAACTACGTCTGCGCTCCCTCATGCGAGATTGAAGATGAGTGCCCTACAGGCTTGGTCTGTCCCCCTGTTTGCCTCTATGGCAGACAACCCTTCCAAGTGTCTCCAAGTCACTCCAGAGTTGGCGGAACAATTGAGTTGGCAGATATTCCTTCCGAACCTTTTAATGGGCCGCCCATTCTGCCCATTGCAACTCACAATTCAGGTCATGACAGACACAAGTCCTACCGGGTGGGGGGCTCACTGTGGTCCTCAAAGGATATATGCTCTCTGGTCCAAGAAGGAGAGGAAGTTACACATAAACCATGTGGAGATGTGGGCAATCATCAAAGCCTTTCGTGCCTTTCACCCTCTTCTATCAGGTCGGGGTGTGCAAGTAGTCACCGACAACACCACGATCATGTTTTACATCAACAAACAAAGGGGCGCCTGCTCAATGTCACTCCTGTACTTAGCGGTTCATCTATGGGAGTGGTGCTATGTGCATCACATATTTCCTGTAGCCATTCATGTGTCCACGGAAGACAACAAGGTAGCGGACACCCTCAGTCAATTGAACGCCCAGACGCACTAATGGAGCTCGATGAGTTTGTATTTATGATGATTTACAACAAGTGGGGATTCCCAGTAGTGGACATGTTCGCAACTCATCTCAAGAACAAATGCGACATGTTCTGCTCCAGAGCAGGGATGGACAAAGCATCACTCGGGGATGCCTTCATGGTGGAGTGGGTGGACTGTCTTCTTTACGTATTTCCCTCCATACCATTAATTCAAAGAATTTGTCAAGTTCACGCCAGTGCCATTCTGATTGCACCATGATGGCCTCGGCAACCATGGTTTACCACTCTCAAGATGATGGCGTCAGAATACATCAGACTCCCACAAGATGCAGGCAAAATCTGCCTTTTGGTCATAGGTTGTTTTTTGTTTTTTTTTGCATCTGATGGTCTGGAGGCTTCTCCCATGATCAGAGAAGTTTTGGACAAGGCTAAGAAGCCCTCCATGAAACTCTTGTATGCATACAAGTGGTCCAACTTCATAAAGTTTACTGGGTCATGGAATTTACTGGCTATACCTATATCCCTTGATACCCTGGTCAAAGAAGTAACGCAGTAACCTGCGTTACTTGTTTGACCAGGGCTTAGCCTTCTCTACACTTAAAGTTTACATCTCTGCCATTTTTCCTTACCAACCACTTGGGTCTGAATCCTCCCGATTGTTTTCGAATCCCACTTTAAAGATGTTTTTAAAGGGTTTGCAAAATATGTGTCTTCCTATTTGTCCTCCTATGCCTCAGTAGTCCTTATGTGTAGTACTCCAAACTCTTACATCCCCACCCTTAGAGCCCATGGCTTCCTCTGAGCTCCTCCTCCTCTCGTTTAAGACTCTGTTTCTAGCAGCCATAACTTCTGTTAGAAGAGCAAGCGAGTTGGCTGCTCTTTGGTCTGATTCGCTTTACTTTCAATTTTTCCAGGACAAGGTGGTTATGTACCCAGATATCTCCTTCTTTCCAAAAGTTATTGCAGATTTTCATGTTAACCAACCCTTAACTCTGCCCATGTTGTTTCCTAACCCTTCTGTAGATGTTGAGCGCATGCTCCACTCATTGGATTTTCACCGTGCTTTGGCCTTTTAAACATCAAAGACTAAGGATTTTCGCACCTCTCCCCATTTATTTGTTTGCTTCCATGGTTCTCACAAGGGGTCACCTGCAACTCAGTGTATTTCGAGGTGGATTGTATCTACAGTTACTCTAGCCTATGAACTATCAGGTAAAATCCCTTCAGAGGCGTTAAAGGCACATTCCACCAGGTCTGTGGCAACTTCAATGGCCATGATGCAAGAGGTTGACATCTCTGATATTTGCAAAGCAGCCACGTGGTCCACTCCGCTAACCTTTGTGACCCATTATAGATTGGACCTTAGGGCCAAGAAGGAAGCTAATTTTGGGAGAGCTATGCTTACATCTTTTATGGAGTGAAGGCCTGCCTTCTGGTAAGTGAGCTTGTTAGTCACCCATTTGTGTGGATTCACAGAGGTCACATAGAAGAAAGAGTCGTTACTTACCTGTAACTATGGTTCTTCTAGTAGTCCTCTGTGAATCCACACATCCCACCTGACCTCCCCACTGTCCGTCACTCTTTGTCCTAGCATTAGAGCTCTGATGATGGCGGACTTGGGAACTGAGGTTTGGGCGGGCGGAGCATGTGTGGTATGGGGCAACGTACTACTAATGTTTCTCCTTTTTAAAAAAAGCTCTAGAATATTCCAAGGATCCCCACAAGCGCAGTTTGTACCCATTTGTGTGGATTCACAGAGGAACACTAGAAGAACCATAGTTACAGGTAAGTAACCACTCTTTCCCCCTCCTCCTCCTGGGCCCTGCTCCAGTCAGGAGCTACATTTGATCACTGGCTGATGAGATGAATACTACGGAGAATATGTCAGCAATTGCCTATGTTTCTTTTATCATTGATTTCTCTGTCAGTGTCAAAGTCACACTCTAGTCTAGCACTGTAGATCCTTGTTAGATGTAGGATACATTAAAGAGGGAACATCAGATATGCCAGACTATATTCTAGTGGTGGCGCTGCGAGCTAAACCACAGAAGCCTGTGCTGCAGGGTCAGAAGACCAAGCAGTCGTAAGATCGAATCCATGCAATGGAGTGAGCGCCCGTCGTTTGTCCCAGCTCCCGCCAACCTAGCTGTTTGAAAGCATGCAAATGCAAGTAGATAAATAGGGACCACCTCGGTGAGAAGGTAACAGCGTTCCGTGTCTAGGTCGCACTGGCCATGTGACCACAGAAGATTGTCTTCGGACAAACGCCGGCTCTATGGCCTGGAAATGGGGATGAGCACCGCCCCCCAGAGTCGAACACGACTGGACAAAAATTGTCAAGGGGAACCTTTACCTTTACCTATATTCTAGTCTGATCAAGATCATAGAAGGATACTTTTTGAGTAATCAGTTATCATTTTTAAAAGTAATTTAATTTTTTCGTTAGCTTAAAAAAAGTAAAATACATCACTGACCTGTGATGTATGACATGTAGCAGTAATGTGGCCATACCCTAAAACAGTTACAATTGTACAACAAGACAATCAAGTATTCGGTTCCCTACAATCATTATGTAACTTGTATTGCAATTGTAATTTGACTCAATTGTGCCTTAGTTTATTGCAAAGAGAAATTAATTACAAGTAATTAGTAATTAGCTACTTTGAAGTTTAGGAGTGATAAGTTGTCTTGAGAAAATTAGATAGCGTCTAATCAGCAATAAGTAACCATCATTTGCACAGGGATGTGGTGGCGCTGCGGGTTAAATCGCAGAAGCCTCTGTGCTGCAAGGTCAGAAGACCAGCCGTTGTAAGATAGAATCCACATAAGCTGCCATCGTTTGCCCCAGTTCCTGCCAACCTAGCAGTTCAATAACATGTAAATGCAAGTAGATAAATAGGTACCACCATGGTGGGAAGGTAATGGCGATCCGTGTCTAGTTGCGCTGGCCTTGTGACCATGGAAACTATCTACAGACAAACGCTGGCTCTATGGCTTGGAGATGGGGATGAGCACCACGCCCTAGAGTAGGACATGACTGGACTAAATGTCAAGGGGAACCTTTACCTTTACCTAACCATCATTTGAACAACTCATTTCAAAGGTTTGACACTAAAAGAGTGGAAAAAATGGCTGAAGATGTCTGCACTTTCTTAGAAAAGAAGCAAAGGACCAGGCAAATCCAAGGTTCTGAAAAAGAACGGCTAATCAAAAAAGGTCAAGAGGTTGAAAAACCGAGAGATCTAAATGAGTAAGTATAACACACCTTGTTTGGAATGTTTTTATCATCTAAAAGTACATTTAGATACAGCAAGTCAGGCATTAAGTTATCTGTCTGAAGTAGAAAGACAGCATTTACTTTTATAAAACAAAGGAAGAAAGGCAACATTAAAAAAAAGAGGTTACTAACTCCTTTTATTTTGTGTTCCTATTGTTGAATTTAGCCTTGGGGATAATTTCAAAATTATGCCACACAACATTGAATACATTTTATGCGAGACATTCCTGCTTTTTTTTATTTGTCTCCTTCCTGCTGCCCTTCTGCCTTGAGGCCAAATCCTCTTTATTCAGGCATGTGTTCTAACTGTAGGGTTATAGCTGATTTGCTGGGTTTCCCTCCCTTTTTAGGTAAATTATTGATAGTATTTCAATAGATTTTAAAGCATGTTAATGTTGTTTTAATCATATGAACTAAATTCCATTTTAAGATTTGTACATGACTGTATTTTAATTATATTATTTTTTAAAACTATATTGTAAGCTACATTGGGTCCCAATTCTGAGAGAAAGGTGGCGTATTAAATAAATAAGTATACCTAACTGTCAGTTGTTACATTTAGCCTTACACAAACTGCACAACGGACTGAAAGAACATGCAATTCCTTAGAAAACAGCCATGCAAATGAAAAAAGAAAACAGGAAAAATTGCTTAAAAAGGCAAAGAAGGCTGAAAAACTAATGGGGGAAAAAGGAAATGAGTAAGTGTTTGAAGTATTTCTGGTGCACAATTTTGTTGGGTTCTTTGGAGAAATTTCTGAATCTACCAGCGGTCTTGTTGAATTCAAATATATATCATATCCCAACTAAAATAATCTTGAGCTCCCTTATCAGAGTCTTGCTCCAGATGGGTGCTGAAGATGATCATGGGCAAACCGAAGATTTAGAAGGAAGTTAAGCAGTAAAACCTGTCAGGAATTTTTGGGGTGTGGAGATGGGTCCGAGACAAGGCAGTCTTCCAGGTCAACAGTAAAGAGACTCACAGAGATTCCTTTCCAGTAGTGTATTTACAAAATATGTACAGCAGAGTTATGTACAACAGACTAAACGATACACTTATTTGTAAAATAAACAGACAGCACTTTGTGCAGTAACTCTCCATACAAAGCTCCATATTCCACTATATAGCGTGCGGCTCTTATATAGTGTGAATCAACTGATCTTTTAGGCACTACAGTGGTGCCTCGCTGAACGGGTGCCCTGTTTAACGACAAATCCGCATAGCGATTAAGTTTTTGTGATCGCAAAAGCGATCGCATTGCGATGCTTTAAATGGAAACAAATTGCTTTGCAATGATCGGTAAGCTGTTTCGCTTACTGATTTTCGCATAGCGATGTTTTTCCAACAGCTGATCAGCACTTCCAAAATGGCTGCTGAGTAAATAAAATGGCTGCCCGCTGTGTTTTTGCCCAGATTCCTTACTAGGCAGCGAAAATGGCGGCCGTATGGAGGATTTTCACATTAAGATGAGTTTCTTCATTGTGGTCTTCTGTGAATGCACACATAAAGGGTTAAGTCAGCGCCAGCGTCGGTCCCCTTCGGAACGTTCTAGAGCTCTGCAAACAGAAACATAGTTTAAGATTACCTACACTGCGCATGCTCCGCCCGCCCTATCCTCAGTTCCATTTCTCCGCTGTGCGAAGTGGTTCCTTTTCGCTCTAGCTGTGCTTTATTCGCCATTTTGGCTTGTATTTTTCTGGATTTTTTACCTCGGCGCGTTCCTGGATGTTGCCTACTGCCTTGCGGACTTGTTGCAGTGCCTTGGGGTTGTTTTTTCGACTCCCTCCATGAGTTATTGATTTTCCCACCCTTTTTACTGGCCTGTCCCGGCCCCCGGGCTCCTGCCTATGCCCCCTCCACCGTCTGGGCCCTTTAGCCGTTGTGTCATGTGTTCAGCTAAAATCCCCTACCACGACATGCACGACACTTGTTTGTTCTGTTTGGGAGAATCCCACTCGCCCCAGAACTGCAAACATTGCAAGGCATTCACTAAAGCGGCTCTGAAGGCGAGGCAGCAAAGACTGAAACTTCATTTGTGGGGATCGGCTTTATCCTCCTCTAAACCTTCTTTTATGGAAATTCTGCCTGCTTCTTCCAACCCCCAAGCTGATGGCAACTCCCTCATCTGAGCTTACTCCTTCTGGACTACCTGCTCCTAAACCGGCTAAAAAGGTGGCTAAGAAAACCTCATCGACCAAAGCTGCCCTGGTTAAGCCTCTAAAGCAGCCTAAGACTAAACAACCTGCCGTGAACAAATTTTCCACCCAGCACCTGCCATCTACTTTGTCCTCTGTGCCATCACCGATTTCATGGCAACTCCCTCATCTGAGCTTACTCCTTCTGGACTACCTGCTCCTAAACCGGCTAAAAAGGTGGCTAAGAAAACCTCATCGACCAAAGCTGCCCTGGTTAAGCCTCTAAAGCAGCCTAAGACTAAACAACCTGCCGTGAACAAATTTTCCACCCAGCACCTGCCATCTACTTTGTCCTCTGTGCCATCACCGATTTCAGAGGACTCACCGGGAGATAAGAACTCCATATCGGAGGCACCTCATGCCATTCCTCCCAGGCCTTCCCCATCACCCAATAGTTTTAAAAATCAAATTAAAAAAAAAAAAAGAGACAATATTACCCCTTGGCGCTCCGTCACCTACGCCAAGTCAGCTTGCCCTAGTGACTGCAAGCGCAGGTTCAGCCCCTCTTAGCCCTGTATCATCCGGGCAGGTGTCTTTGGCTCCTTCTGTTTCTCTGACCCCTTCGCGAGCGAGTTCACCTCCAGTGAAGAAAAAGGAGAAGAAAAAGCATGTTTGTGACGATCGACGTTGATCTGCCCGTAAGGAAAGCAAGGCTCGACATTGGCGACACCGTTCCACATCAGAAGATTCTACATCGTCTAATTCAAGACATAGGAGGCATAAGCGACGCCGCAGATGCCGGTCTTCTGCCTCCTCTTCGACGTCGTCGGATCAACATCGGCGACATCGACGTGTCAAATACGTCTACCTTTCTTCATCATCGTCGGGGTCCACCCCCCCATAAGCATTGACGTTGATATTTGGCGGAACGCCTCCTCCCACCAAGGTCTACCCGGATCACCCGCGCAACTCAGGGGGTGAGGCTGAGGAGCCTGATGTCGAGAGAGGCCCGGAAGGAGAAGACACGAAACCGGGCCTTCTCGG